GGCTTTTTTTGGTGATTTAAAATTTTTAATTTGATTAATGTGGGAAATCTTTTTTTGAGGTCTTATAAGGGGGGAAAACCACATAATTTACATCAATAATTTACTTACAATTTTGATAGGTTCCCTAAAACAGCTTTTAAGGTTTTCCAGGGTTTGGTTCCTGTACCAAAACGTGTTTCCTGGAGGAAGGAGCGGAATTGTGCATTTCTGCCATACTTCTATTTCATCTTATTTTGAGCTGCCTTTAAGTTAGCCTTGGCTAACTGACGTGCCTCCTGCAACCTTGAAGACGGGTTGTAGAGTGTGGAGCTAACATCTTCTCCCATCCATCCTTCTTTGAGCACCCGAAGAGGACCTCGTACATTGTGCCCAAAGATCAGCTCAAACAGACTATACCCAGTAGACTCCTGCACAGTTTCTCTTATTGAAAACAGCAACAAAGGTAGTTAATCATCCCAGTCTGTAGGAAAATGCATACAAAAAGTTCTCACCATGGTTTTTAACGTCTGATGGAATCTTTCCAAGGTGCCTTGGAAGTTAGTACCTTGATCACTTTGAATAGATTTAGGAATACCAAAACAAGAAATAAATCTGGTTAAACCTTGAGAATGGCTTTAGTTTTTAACACTGCACATGGGAATTGCTTCTGGGTATCCAGTTACTTTATCCATAACGGTAAATAAGTACTGATTTCCAGACTTGGACTTAGGTAGTGGACCTACGCAATCTATAATTAATTCTGCAAAAGGTTCTCCATCAGCAGGTATAGGCTGGAGAGGTGCAGGTTTAATGGAATGTCCAGGTTTCCCTAAATGCTGACATTCTCGGCAACATCGGATATGATTCTTCACATTCTGCCTTAATTTCGGCTAATAGAATTCTGTTGTGATTCTATATAATGTTTTATTAATTCCTAGGTGACCTCCTAATGAAGTATTGTGAGCTATATTCAATATCTGAGGTCTAAACTTTGTTGAAATCACTAACCTGTCTGACAGCTGCCGGCCCTCTATCTCCTTACCAGTCTTAGTGCAGATCAAATAGTAATTAAGTTTATATTTGACAGGATGATATGAAAAGGATTTACCCATGGCTGCCTGAAAAGCGAAATTCAATGAAGGGTCCTTTCGTTGTTCCTCCCGGAAGGACAGTCCCTCGGGCATGGAAACAGAGATATCTGGCAATCCTGCAACCCTGGAATAGGAAGGCTTGATCTGGGTCTGTTCATTAAATTTACGAGGCTCTGGCCAGTTTTCCTCGTAAAACAAATTGGCTATTCCGAGATCAGAGTCGTCCAAGGATAGGTGAGCATTCTCGCCAAACAACCCTTGGGATGTTACCCAAGTTATGGCCAACACTGGAGAAGAATTAATCATTATGGGTTCAGGACATACACTAGAAGTGGAAATGTTATTACCCAGTAATAACATGGCATCTTTCATAGGAAATCCTTCGGATATACCTACAGTCAAATATCCAGTGTAATATTTGCACTGTATATAGATTCTATGCAAGGGGACAGAAAAGATTGCTCCTCTGAAGGCTTCAAGCAAAACGGAGAATTGTAATGAAGTGTTCAGAAAGGGGAAGTGCTCCCTCTCTTATAAGTGAGCAATATGCTCCAGCATCTCTGAAGGTTCTGACTTCAGTTGTTTTTGAGTCTTCCTGAAGGGAAATACGACTGACAGTAATAAGGGGCCATCCCTTTCTCTACTTCTTTCAGGGTCATGTTACTAGGGACACTATAGATTTTCCCTAATGGTTGGGGTTTATTTGGACAGTTTGGGCGGATATGACCTACTTTGTTGCATAGGTAGCAGACGACAGGCTTGACCTTAGCTCCCTGCTGACGATGTAACTGGTGTCGCTCTGGCTTGTGTCGCTGTGGATACTGTTGTCAAGTTGCACCATGTTGAATGGTTTGTTGCTCACCAGGTTGACCATAAGTTGAATAGCGTGGCTCACCAGGTGACTTAGTTGGCTGACGTAGACGTTCTCCTTCCGGGTGGCACTTCATCCGCCAATGTGGACGATACTTGTTCATGCCAGGCTGTTGAAAAGAGATGGGACCGCTCGGACAAGGAGCAGTTGGTTTCGAAGGTATCAGCCAACCTGGCTGCCTCCAGTGCAAGTGGTTAAGACACGATCCTGCAGAAAGACTAACCTCTGGTCCCACAGACTCCAGCAGGTTATCTACTACGATGAGCTGCACAAGATCAAAGGTGGCGACACCACTTGCTTTATACCAGCTGGTAAAAGCTTTGGTTTGCTGTCGCACGAAATCCACCAGGGATTGACCAAGCTGTCGTCTGCCTAACTTGAATGACTTCCTATACTTAGCTGAGATGCATTGGTATGCTCCAAGGACTATGGCATTTAATACTGATGTAAATTCCTGTGCCTTACCAAGAAAAGCTGTACGCACCGAAAACGCCCAATGCTGTTCCGGCCACCTCAAGGCTCGAGCCTGATTTTCGAAAGTTTCGAAAAATTTTCAGGTTCTGCCTCATTGAAGTGGGGAACCAGCTCTACTGCTTTCTGTAAACTAGTCATTTGCAACTTGAGAAAACTGCCTTCTTTCTTTTTCCTTATCAAATTCTTCTTGGTATATGCCCTTTTTTTCCTAGTCTGCTCAAGATTGATTTTCGCCAACTCAAGTGCCAATGCAGCAGATTAACCTTCAGCCAACCCTGTCGCATGAGACTGACGATGTTGCTCAGTTGATTTATCATTTTCGTCCTTCGAGAACATCGGGTTTTTATTCTTGGCTCCCGTGTTGGGAGGAGTTTGATGTGCCATCTTTTCTTCACGAAGTTTGATACTTATAAGAGTACAAAGCTGCGCAGCTGTGAGAGAGCGTTCGTAACCAATGCCAATGGAACGAGCAATCTGCCAACATCGCTGTAGAGGAAATTTAGACAAGTTTAATAAAGTGTAATCGGACACTAGACGTCTGACTCGTCTAGGCGGCATACCCCAACGAAACACGTTATTTGCAATACACGCTTAGCTATGCACAGTATGACTGCAGAATACGCACATACAATAGCAAGGCTGATACACAATAGCAAAAGCCAACTGGAAAATATTCACACAACAGCAAGGTTGACCGTAGCGAAGCGAGCACAATGAACAAGCTAATAGCAAGCTGTCAACGATAATACAATAGCAGGCTGACCATAAAACGCAAGGCTGACACGCAAAGTTTCGTGAAGCGTTGGCGAGGCTAACGCAATGCCAGACAGCAAGTTACACAATATTCCTGTTCCAGCTTCACCCTAGGCTCAACTCGTGCTCTAAATCCAGCTTCAGCTCCCGGACAGGCTACCCATATTGAAACCCAGGGACAATAAGCCGTGTTATCCTGGGTGTAAAGGGGAGCAAGGAACAGAACAAACAGCTGAATGACTTTGAAATATATTTTCCTTCACCAAGAACAATGTGGATATTTGAAGATATGTACACTATATACAGCTGAAAAATGTATGTGTACAACACGGTTTAGGCAAGGCCAAGACACAGCCTGGAGACAGAATGGACAACCGTACTCAACCAGCTCTAGTATGGAAATGACAAGGGCAGACAGGCAGGTGGTGCCCCCAACACCTCTGCGATTGCCAGAACCATCTTCTCATTGGCTGAACCTGGGTACTGATCGAACGACGGGGCCTCATCGTTCTACCCTAATACTGGTTCACGGGTTGGGGAGATAGCCTTTCAATGAGGGTGTGCACATGCGCCGAATAAAAGTTACGTACTCTTTGCATGCCACAAATACTATACTGCTAGATTTCTGAAACTGGGAACTGTTTATAGACAGGCCAGAGGTAGCGACAAGTTACTGGCGTTCATACATTGTAAGAGACTGAACAAATTCCTACGGTAGGAATAGAGGTCAGCGACCTACGTCGCTCCCATGACTCACAATCAATACTTGAAGATCGTCTACACAAGTTTCATACAACAGTACATTGCATTCCAGTGTGATGAATATATCAAACAAATAAAACTTACGTGGATGTACGTATAAATAATAATAGTTGTAGTATTTACTAAGCATTCTGACCATATAGATCACTCGGCTCGTAACCATAAAAATAATTTGCATCATGTAGAACTTACAACACGACATGACAAGGTTATTCTTTCTCCAAATTAGGATCTTACATTTATTTCAATTTTGCCTTAATCTGAAGTACATAATTAATCCTAAATATGGTGTCCCTTCTGCCCCTTCCTAGGACCCCCCAGTCTACTGTACGCTTGTAAAACTGGAATGTTCAGAGATGTACATGAAAAACTCTTATCTTCATTAAGAAAGGCTCAAAACACTCAACTTGTTATTCCCTATAATACAGCGTTTGCGATATCTCCTTCAAACTATAATTTAATCTTGACACTATTAAACCCAAAAAAATAATTTTAAGTGCAAGGCCAATTTTAAGTGTAATGTTATTTTTAAGTGCAAAGTCATTATAATAATTATATCTTTATTTCCACAAGTACATGTACAAAGTATACAGTTCTAGTTGACATCAGTGACATACAGTGACATACATAAAGTCGCTTGTTATGCTGAGCATTTCGGGCAAATTAGGTCAGTTTTGTCCCAGGATGCGACCCACACCAGTCGACTAATACCCAGGTACGCATTTTACTGATGGGTGAACAGGGGCAAAAGGTGTGAAGAAACACGCCCAATGTTTTCACCCTTACTGGGAATCGAACCACGGACCCTCAGCGTGTGAAGCAAGAGTTTTTTTTGCCTACCAGGCCACGGGCCACCATAATGAGGTGGGAGATGAAGCACAAATGTATGTAAAGTTAAATTTGTCAATAGTCAAACTATAAACTGAAAACACTGCTAGGCAATTAACACACCAGAACAATTATCACACCTGGTCTAATGATACTTCTAAGCAATTTAGCAAGTGTTGCTACAGGTGCTGAGGGGAGTCAAGTGATCAACTAACACATGTATGTGTGTGGACCTTCTGCAGGTGCGGAGGGGAGTGAGATGTGTTCCTGCTTCTACATCAGGAGTGAGTGGGAAGGCAACTACGACGCTGACTTCTCCGTGCAATCTACCATCAGGTTCAAAGGAATTACATGCGAGCTGACCTTCGACAGCCCTGTCGACTCTCTAAACGTAAGCGATCTGTGTGTGTGTTGTGTGTGTGTGTGTGTGTGTGTGTGTGAGAGAGAGAGAGAGAGAGAGAGAGAGAGAGAGAGAGAGAGAGAGAGAGAGAGAGAGAGAGAGAGAGAGAGAGAGAGAGAGAGAGAGGGAGGTAGGGAGGGAGAGAGAGAGAGAGAGAGGCGCAATACTGAACGGAAATTAAAATGAAATAAATGAGAAGTGGGAAAACTCTAATTTACAGGACTTCAGAATAAGTGGTGGTAGGGATTCTTAACTCCTTCATCACTGTTCATAACGGGACACTTACGACGACGTACCCTACATCATTACCCGTCATTATAGGTCATCACTACATCACCTATCATTACAGATCATCACCATATCACCCATCATTACAGGTCATTATTACATCATCCATCATTACAGGTCATCACTACATCACCCATCATTACAGGTCATCACCATATCATCTATCATTACAGGTCATCACCATATCACCCATCATTACAGGTCATCACTACATCACCCATCATTACAGGTCATCACCATATCACCCATCATTACAGGTCATCACTATATCACCCATCATTACAGATAATCACCACATCACCCATCATCACAGGTCATCACCACATCATCCATCATTACAAGTCATCACATCACTCGTCATTACAGGTCATCCCACATCATCCATCTTCACAGTCATCACTACATCATCCATCATTACAGGTCATAACATCACCCATTATTACAGGTCATCACCACGTCAGGTGAGTACTGGTACGCTGCTGCATTTTCACTTTAGTCTCTGGGAAGAGATAAGCCCATATAGGTTTAGCGCCTTGGAAGCATTCAGGTTCGATTTAAGGAATGGGAGAGACCATAAGTCCACTTCCTTGGATCAAAAGCCTGCTCTCCTCACCGGCATCAAGGTACCTCCCCGAGG